TGCAATCTCTTTTATAATCAATCATCTTATTCACAATATGGTTATCTACACATAATCGATTAGAAAAACTCATTGATTGCATATTAAAATTGTTAAACAATATAGTTCATCTCTATTAATCGATTTATGAAACTTGCAATTATTCTTTTTCTAAACAATTTTGTTTTTCCTTTCCTTTCGGTTATAACTACACAGGTAAATGACAGAAAAAAAATAATATTTCAATGAGGGTTTTAATATTTTTGTAAGGCTTCATAAAGTAAATAGGTCGAGAATAGCAACATGGGAGAAAAATAATATTGTAATATTACAAGTTAATTATATTTTTAATAAAAAATTAATTTAAAGAATGTGTTTTTATTTTTTTAATATATTAAATATGATTAAATTAAGTATTTGGATATATAAGTAATTTTATAGGCTTTATAAGGATATATATGTAATTTAAAATTGTACAAGGATATACACGTAATTATGAAACATTATAAGGATATAGATGAAATTCTCCCTGGATTAATAACCTAATTTACTTGCCTCTTGAACATGTTTACTTAATAAAGAAAATATAGGAAATTACAATTTTAATCCTTGAGTATAGTGGATTTTCAATTTGGGGGCCTCATTTGAAGTTCTTGTAGTGTTTTTGGTCCATATTCCAAGTAAAAACGACAATTTTAGGTCTATGGGTAAAATTGATTTTTGCGATTTTGTCCCATTAATAGAACTCGAAAGAAGGATCAAAAATGTTACAAAAATCGCACAGACCAAAATTTCATTAGAAAACTATGGGACCAAAATTGAAGAAATCAATTATACTCAAGACCATGAATGTAATTTACTCCAGAAAATAATATACAATGTACAAGCATTGATGCATTTATATGAATAACTAAAAGAACAATAACTGAAAATTTATATGATTATTATTCCTTATGTTATAGAATAATTTGAGGTACGGATTGTCAAAGTTTGGTACTATTTGGTGACATTATCACTTAAACAAATATGAAAGTTAAGCGGGTAAATACTGTGTAAAAGAAGCATTATTACCTAATGGCAAACTGAAGACGATGATTCTTTAAAAATCCATCAAAAAGAGTGATCACTTGTTCAAGATCTTCAGCTCGAAGAACAAATGCCTCCACACTTGTTAAACATTTCACTGTCCTTTTGCTAAGCAATCTGTTTCCTTGTTTTCTCTGGTTTCTTTTATCTGGAAAAAACATTTTAAAATTCACCAAATTTGAAATGAAGTAAAAGGTAGGTTGCTATTTATTGACATTAGACCATCCTTAACTACTTTACATTTATACCTTCAAGGCACCATTTGAGAAGTTCTTCACCGCATACATCACCCTCCAACAATAAAACTTTATTATTCCCATTTTTTTCAATGCTCTCCAACGTTCCTCTTACAATAAAAGTCATCTTTGTTACAAATCCTCCTTCATATAATATTGTGCCTCCGTTGTTGTAAGTCCTTTGCTTTAACCTCTCATATATTGCATCTAAAGCTGTTTCATCCAGAAGTGAAAATATTCGGACCTGCAAGTTGTAATGTATAGATGTAAGAAATAGCAACACACTTCATTGATTTGTTTCTTATAGCACTTACTTTCATTTTTCCTATGATAGTACTACACTTAGAAAAAAATACACCCAATAATAGCAATGTCACTAAAAAACAAAGAATTTTCACATTTTGATATAGTTTTCGAAGTACAACATCGTAATATGAAAAATGTTAAAATGAAACAAATTAATTACAATAATATAATTGGATATGTTGCTTTTTCAAAATTGAGATATAGTTTTGGGGGTTAAATGCAAGAAATAACAATGTATTTTCAATGATTTGTTTATTATAGCATCTTACTTTTATTTTATCTTATCATGGTATCGTACCTTATAAAATCTATCCAATTATAGAAATTCAATCAAAACACAAAGCAATTTTCACACTTCTACTCTGCTATATTTGGGTAAAATTTTGAAAGTATAGTGCCTTAATATGAAAAATACTAGAAGTACAACGCTATAATCATATAATCGTCACCATTAGAGGAATAGAGAGTGAGAGTTGAATTTTACTTTCTTGACAAACTTAAAGAGATGTCTTCGTATATCTCTTTGCAACTCTTCAGGTAGATTCTCCATTAGCATCTCTTCATCAACCCCTTGGGTAGCCTCCCAACTATAATGCTCTGACTCTCGAACTTTTCTACACATCAATACATACAAATGATCAACCTTTGACCAAATAGACAACAAAACTAAACCAATATATAAAAAAAACACAATGCAAAATAATAATCTTTTAACACCTTCGTATCTCTTCTGACAAGCGACGGTGTTTCATCCACTTCTCAACATCACGTCTTCTAAGTGACTTTTCAAGTTGTCTAATTAATAAGATAATATTAATTAAAAGAAATAAAGTATTGATATGATGAAGAATGAGGGGCTGAAACAGTGGCGTAGCCATGATTTTGTTTCAGGATAGGCCAAATAATATACAAAATATGACTGAGTGACAATATTCTTCAAACGATAACAAAATGTAACTATATATGTATTCTTAACTAAATTGTTTATTTTAAATTTCACACGATATTCTCTTACATCATTAAAATAATATAAAATTGAGTCTAATAGACATAGACAACAATGTATTCTCTTCTACTAGTTTCAAGTTTTGAATGAAATCGGTCATATCACAACCCTAATTTCTTTTATTATCAAAAATATATATTATACATACTATATATATGTAACCATAATTTTATGTGGGTGGGCTAAGGCCCACTCTTGCCCTATATTAGCTACGCCCTTGGGTTGAAATGTGATAGTAAAAGGTATACCTGCGTCCAAGACCTTGAAGAAAGTTCTGCATGTTTCCAATAAGAAGGGCGAAAAGTAGAAGGCCAAGTCCAATGATGCCCATGGTAAAAAAAACTTCCCCAACGATATAACTTGGAGTTTGATTTCCAGCGAGTGTACTGATTTGCTTTTCACAATCATCACCGATTGAAAATAGAGAAACAATGAGAATAGGTCCAATAAAGAATAAAAGGCAGATAAAGTTAATCTAAAAAATTCAATACCTGAAGCCCCCAAAAAAAGGAGTATACATATCTTGTGAGTAAACTTTTCTCGGTAGTAAGATTGACAGCTGTCACGTAAATTCCATAGTTTATACCATCTTCACGAAAACAAGCACTAGAATTTCTATCTTCTTTCCACTCATTCCATATTTCAAGATTACCTTCAAAACCCCCATAATCATTCCCACGCCCGCAATCTATAAACTTTCTACAATCCGTAATTGTAGAATTATTACAGACGTCTCGAAGGCATCTATTCATCCTCTTCATAGGAATTAAAGGAAAAAAAAACAATTAGAATATATAGCCTACAAATTAAAAACATTTAAACGTGAATGACACATGAATAATAACAAGAATAAACACGAGTAATATATTCATGATCTCACCCACCATTATCGTTAACATATACCAACATGACCCAATAAAATGACTAGCCAAGACGAAAGTCAGAAGATTGATGAAAAAGTTGGCCCATGTTGACTCAAATCTGAAACCACTTGGAGACTGGCCAGCAAGAAGAGGCTGAAATCGGTATAATCTAGGAATGTACTGTATAATAAAAGCTGTTTGCAAGATAAACTTTGCGTTACTAATTCCAGGTGATGTAAGGCCATTTGGTTGGATAAATAGTACAACTATCTGCATGGATATATAAGTTATTAACTTAATTAAGAGGAGATGTGAAGAAATGATATTATGGGGGGTGTTTGGCTAAACTTTTTAAAATAACTTATTAGGTTCCACACCGCTATAAATTAAAAAAGTGTTTTGATGAAAGTAACTTATTCCGGTAGGTAACCTCTAATAAGTCATTTTTTCATAAGTAAAACTATACTTACTTATTAACTTATAAGCTAATAAGCAATGCCAAACACCACCTATATATATATATATATAT